AAATTTGGTGGGATGCTAAGAAAAATGGAGGTGGAAATATACGGCCAAACAGTGTTCATGTTGTGTCATGTTATTGCTCAATGTCACTAGGAAAATCTGTAGTGAGTGCCATGAGGCAGTGGAATAGGTGAATCATTTGGGAAATCTGGTGTGTCACCAGAAAGAAGCCCCTGCAACCCTGGGGCAAAAGAGTTAATAAATGCTGAAATATTTGAATTACAAAGGAGCCATGTACTTTGCACAGGATCAAGAAGAAAAATGCCTTAAAAAATATAGAAATCACTAAGTCACCAGCCATTGTAGGATTAAGGGTCTAAAACTGTAAAGCTTTCAGTTGAGCAGAGAGTCCTTAAGACTCCTTCTCATTCAGGGCTGACTAAGGAATTATATCCCTGTGTTCACCTGTCCAGATCCCCAGTACCCACAAGTTAAAGGGACCTGGCTTCTGCCCAAGATGGTGAATGTTTTTGTTATTCATATGGTGCTGGGTTTTCAGGTAGGCAGAAGGAAAGGGATATGAAGTCTAAGATGCTTCCATCCAAATTTCTGAGAGAGATGTGTCAGCCTGATACTCCCTGGCAAGATATCATGGCAGGGCAGTGTATGAATCTCAAGTTGTAACGAAATTTGCCCTGAGGAGCACAGGAAGCTGGAGTTGCTGAGTACCTGGATTTTCTCTTGAAGGAAAGCATAAGCACTGGGCGGAGCCAGCCTAAGGGAAAAGATATGTGGGCTCTAAAGGAAAAGACCATAGGGAAAGGCTGCCAAAGCTCTTTGGAGCAGACATTTCACCACACCTTGCCCTGGCTGCTTGACGTGGATTCATGGACTGAATGTTGCCCTGTTGAGTTTGAATGTTACTTTAATACAATTTCATTCTATCTCCTAATCCTCCCTTTTGGAATGAAAATGCTTATTCTCTGTTCTTGTATATTGAGAGTATTTTATTCTCTTTCTATTTTTACAGGAGTTCACAGCCAAGAGTTTACCTGGAGTCTCATGGGGAGTTTTTGGACCTGGGATTTTGTGTGATAATGGAACTATTAAGGCTTGGGCTGTCTTAGAAATGGGCTGACTGTGTAACAAACGGAGTGAAACATAGGAGCCTATCAGGGTTGAGAGAAGGAGGGTTGTGATCTAGATGTACAATTTTTCCTAAAATATTGATGTTTGCTGCTGGGACCAGGTAAGAAGAGGAAGGTCACTTTGGGTGTGACTGCAAAGTGGGTAACCTCCCTGGCACATGATATCTCTGTTTCTCTGTCCCTTTGTCTCTTTGTTTCTCTGTCACTGTCTCTCTCTTTCTCTCTATATATCTCTGTGTCTGTCTGTCCATCTGTTTCTCTCTCTCTCTCTCCCTCTCTCCTTCAGTACCACATTATGAACAGCATTTCTACTCCACAGTCTCCTGCCATGCTTTTCTGCTGTGGGGCCAACAAAGCAGGCACTAAATCCTCTGAAAACTGTGAGCCAAAATCCACCTCTCCTCTTTGGAATTACAACTGATATTTTCTCCCAGTGACAGCAAGACTAAGAAAGACGTAGAAATATAGAAATCATTGGATAGAAACTTGATAGATATAGTGTAGGTTTTGATTTACTTTTTGCATATGTATGTTCAATTGATTCAGAACCAGTGTTTAAGAGATAGTCCCTTCTTTCCTTTAATCATCAAAGCCCATGTGTGGCCACTCGTTTTCTTTGGCAGGGTGTAGAAAATGAATTCAGAAGGCTGCTGCTCCTAGACCAAGAAAAAAGTCTCAGAAACTTGACATGGGAAGAAAACTACCAATAAATAGATTGAATATTGAACCACAGGAGACAAAAACAAAGCGAGAACTAGCAGAAGGCCCCTTTTCTCAAACCTCATTCACACACAAGTTGAGTAGATCCCCACTAGTACCTTCTCTTCTTCCCTTGGGATCCTCCCTCTAAGGCTCCTCCCTTGGCCTCATACCTCACCCTTTCAAATGTAGCCCCTGATCCTTCCCCTCTTCCATACCCTTCCTCCAGCCAGTGCCCCTCTGTGATCTCTCCGTGTCTTTTCAGGCACTCAACAGAGTACAAAATTTTCAAAGACTCCTATAACGGGAGGTTTGGATAAAACCTCCAGAGCTACCTCCTCTTGCTGTCGACCCAGGAAAGGGAGACGGTCACCACAGCTCTGCTGTTTCCACCAGCTTGAGTGAGAAACACTATCAGCATGAACCAGAGCAGGACCAGCAGATCCTGAGGAACTCTACGACCTGAAGCAAAGACATAGGTATACTGTGACACGTGTGAGACAAGAGAACATAGGACTGTCCCAGAAATCTCCACAGAAATTATCCACAGTGTAGTCAGTGAATTTTATTTTAATGTCTACAGAAGTGTGATTGGGATAAAACCAACCCCTTCTGAGGAGAGGTGTGCAAGCATCTTCTCTGATGATGGGCAGGGGGAGGAAGGGATGAGGTGGGCTTGCTAGAGGGGGCTGAGGTGAGTCCTGTAGGTTGGGGTTAAGGGCCACACATAGTGGCAGCCAGATGTGGGAGAGAAGGTGTGGCTCAGGCCTGAGCAGCAAGGACAAATTTCTCCCTGAACATTCTGTGTCATAGACAAAGACAGGACATTCTTTCTTGTATCAGTGCACTGCTTTCTACCTAGCTGGGGAGATGGTATATTCGGGATGGAAGTGGGAAGCACAGACTGTCATTCCCTCCATGCCTATCTCATGGGGAATTTGTTGCTGGACTCATTCTGTTCCCCTGATGGATTTCTAGGGCTGTATCAAAGTCTGGCTTGTGTTTCATTAATAATCCTTGAAATGAAGTGTGGCAAATCCTCCAACTTTGTTCTGTTTTTAACAGTTGTCTTTGGTTATTGTGCAGTCTTTAGATTTCTATATGAGTATTATAATCACCTTCTCGTTTTCTGCTAAAAATATTACTGGAATTTTGATTTGGATGGATTGAGGCTATCAAGGTACTTGGGAAGAACTCACTTTGTAACAAGATTCAAATATCTCTGTTATAAACTAGATTTATATCACCACTGTTGTAGTCGGGGTTTTGAAAGGAATAGATTTAATATAGGACACATAATGTAGGATTATTTTGTAATATTCACCCAAAGAGTCAAATTCAGAAGAGTATAGGAGATTTGTCCACATGCTAGAGATCCAAAGAATGGAGCTGAAATCCTGGATCCCACAGCAATGTCCTGCAAGAATTCAGCTGGAGGTCTAGAGCCCACAACAATGTCTCATGCAAGTCTGTATCAAGGACTTGCACTGAGAAGGTCCAACGGTCAGCGGTGGAAGCTCGAAAGTCTGTGCCAGTGGGATGAAGGATCTGTGCCAGTTGGCTGAGGGATCTGCACTAGAGCCATGAAGGCACCCTCAAGCTAAGGAGCAGAGGTCCCCCAAAGAGAACCCAGCCATTTTCAGTGACAGTAAGGACCCAAGGTCCTCCAAAGATGAGAACAGCTGAGTTCATCTCAGGAAAACCGGCATGACCCTTTTTTTCCAGGAGAATCAACAGCACACCGTCTTCCACTCCATTTCTGTTTTTATGCTGCTGGCAACAATCCTCAGGTAGGCCTTCTGCACCCAGAACCATGTTGATGCAGTTCAGCTGGATATTCCAAGTTGACTAATAGGTAATCCACCATGACCAGTTATTTTGATCTCCATACAGCTTGTGTTTTCTCTATACCATATTCCTTAAGGCATATATTTTCTACATCTTGGCCAGATTTATTTCTTTAATTCATAACTCTTAATATTATTTTACATCCTAATGTTTTATGTTCATTTTCAGTTGTTTGCTTCTAGTACAAAGATGCAGTATAATGACCTGGTGTCCTGTGACACTGCTAAACTAAATTATTTGTTCTAGAGGAATTTCCTTAACTTATAAAATATTCTTTATGAATTTTGCTATTATTTGTAAATATCAAGTTTTGCTTCTCTTTTACTATTTTGAAGTACCTTTTAAAAAAAAGCTTGTTATACTGGACACAAATTTCAAGTCTACAGTGATTTATTCCTCTAACCCCACCCTGCTATGTGACATAGTAAGTCTTATGGTATAGAATCCAGTGTCTGCTGTGAAACACAGGTTCCTGAAATGGTTTACTATAATCAAAGATCTTCCATAACTTTTGGTAGAAGAGTAAAGGCCCTATGTTTCCTAAGCTGTATCACCAAGCCTGAGTACTACACCTGCTGGGTTAAGCAGGCCCTACAGGTTGTGGACATGATTAGGAATCCCATTTGAAAGTGTTTGTTCACTGAAGTCTCGATAGACTGAGGCAAGTGATTTCATGAACGAGCACACAAAACTAGTGGAAACTAAGAGATCACTGAGAAGAGAAGGTGTGATAGAGACACTCCCCAGTAGGAGTGCAGTGATTTGAGAACATGCTGCATAGAAATCTTTAAAAGTGAGAAGTGGGACGACCTTCACTGCCACATAGACTTAGTCGTGGTCAGGTTAGCATGAGGGGATTTCAGGTGAGCCACACCAGGGATGGGGCTAGTGGAGAACACGGACATTATCACTGAATCCCATACCTGTGGGAAAGCCTGGATGTAACAAGGTCTCCCCCTGATGCCACCCACCAGCATAGGGCTGGGGTAGCTGAGCAACACTGGGAGGTCAGTCTGAAAGGCTACGTAGGAGTGCTAAGAAAATTCCCCCTTCCTTCAACCAGACCATCTTTGCTCCCTCAGCAGACCCCATTTCCCTGTGCAGCAGCCTCCTTGCTGCTCTGTGATGAATTTGCCCCTCCCCCAGGACTAGATGGGCTGGGGTGTGGCTTGATGACCGAACAAAGCCCAAGGGGTGGCTGCTGCTTTTCCTGGGAGGAGTGGGTAGAGAGCTGAGTAGGCCCCGGTTAGATCAAGGGGAGGCTCATACACTTGAGGGATGGAAGGAAATTCACCAGTAACTGAAATGGAGGTTGACCCACCCAGCCCAGGAGCTCAAGGGAGGAACAGGAAGGCCCCAGGTTCAACCATGGTCCAAGTGCAAGGTGAGTAGGACCACACAAGCATCTTCTCTTCCTCCCCTGGGTTCTCCCCCTAGGTCTTCTTCTGCTCTGCAACCGCCCTCCTCTCCTAAAGGCCCTTCTTCCATCACTACTCCAACTTCACCGCCTGCACATGCCCTGTGTGATCTCCATGTGTCCTTTCAGATCCCCAGCAGAATAAGGAAGTTTCAAATACCCTTACATGCAGTCTGAGGAAGAATATCTGCCCCAGAGCTCACACCTTTTTCCAGCAAGAGTAAAGAAAGGAGGCTGCCAACACATTTCAACCAATTGCAGCACGAGAAACATAATCAACATGACCAAGAACAGAACCAGCTGAATGTGGTGCACTCCACCTGCTCAAGTGAAGACATGGGCATCTAGTGACCTGAGTGAGGCCAGGGACCTCGGAATTATCTCTGGAATCTCCAGAGTTCAGGCTTACACAAGTATGATCAGAGAGGTTGGAATGTTAGCTCAGCGGCACATCACCTGCCTGGCAAATGCACGGTCATGAGTCTGAGTTCTGGCAATGGAAGAAAACCAAAAAACTCCAAAAAAACAAAAAACAAACAAACAAAAAAACTCAAATAAGTGTGATGAGAATAAAAGCAGCAACAGGAGATGTCTGTGCCTCTTCTTTGATGGTGAGGAGGGGAGGAAGGGCAGAAGTGCATGTGAGAAAAGAGAAGTGAAGGTGCTGCAGGGTTGTGGTTCTGGGTGATGGGTCCTCAGGGAGCAGATGAGGCAGATAAGGACCACCGCAGGCCAGAGGACAGAGGACAAAGTTCTCCATTAAATTTTGTACCAGAGGCAAAAGGAGATGGTGTTTCCCTCTGTGAGTGCAGTGTCTGGTACCTACCTAGTAAGAGATGGTAGATATGAGGTGGAAGTGACCCTCCCAGGAAAAGCTCACACCCTAGTGCCCTCCACACCTACATCATAGTGGGGTTCCTTGTTTCGAATCCTATGAGGCAAGCAACTCAAGACCTTCAGAATAAGAAACATTTCCTACCAAAGACACCCTGACATACTCTGAAACACTAAAATTCCGGTATTGTGCCTCACAAATTCAGCACTAGTTAGGGCACTTTTTCAAAACAGAGTGGCTGTGTAGGGAAGAAGCAGAGGCAGTGACTCCTCCTTGGTGTGAGCAGTAAAGGGAGCAGTGTCATAAGCAAGTACTTGTAAGTAAGTGGCATAACTCAAGCTTTTAGTTGAGACAAGTGTCTTTCTAGATGAAGTTGTATGAAATCATAGAGTTAGGTCCTGTGCAACCTTTAGCTGCAGCCTCCCTCATAAAGTATTAAAATATCAGTATTGACCAATTTCTCAAATGGAAATTGACATGGATTCGGCCAAGTCCCTAATACTTCGATCAACATAGGATCTCGCCTGCTTCCCTTGTGGAGACACACCACTTCCTTCACCCCCACACCCTCCTCACCCCTGGAACCCACTGGTCTCCTACTCATTTACATAATTTGATCCTTTCCATGATGTCATCAAATGGATCCACAAGTATATGCAAGGTTTTGCTTTGCTTTTTATTTTTTTAAAGTTTTTTTTCCCATACCAGGAATCAAACTCATGACCTTGTGCTTGCCAGGCAGATGCTGTGCCACTGAGCTAAATCCCCAGCCGCTGTATCGCATGTTTTCTTTAACATGACATAGTTATCTGGCAATTCACCGAGCTCTATATGTACCTGAAGAGAACACTGTAGTGTAATGCTGAATACCATTGCAAGGGATAGATGTGCCAAGGATTTTGTTTCTTTTTAAATGATTATTACATCTAAGGACATCTAAATTGTTCACTGCCAGTGCTCCACTGTTACAAATGAAAGTGCTCCAAACACACTCACACTGCTTTGGGCTGAACATACATTGTTGATTCACTGGGATAAATGCACAGGGGTCCATTTGCTATGTTGTGGGCTGGTTGCAGGATTCATTGTACTTTAATTACCAGAAATTCTTATTTGAAAAAATTGACAAGTATAGAATATTGAACAGTTAGTATACAGTTCCTCTGCACCCCTGAATTCACTCATAATGTTGTCAATATAATTAATATCTTGCATGATTCTGCTATACATTTTATTTATTTATTTATTTATTTGGCACTGGGAATCGAACTCATGACCTCAGACTTGCCAGGCAAGAGCTTATGCCGCTGAGCTATATCTCCGGGCCTTTGCTATACATGTTATAATTTATGATTGCCTCCAACATTGTCCAATTAAGGAAGGTAGCCAACATCAATACTAACAGTATTTTTAACTAACATGTTCTGTTTACATTTAGATTCACTCTTTTTGTTGTGGGGTTGGATCTATGGTACAATTGCATATATGCACTGTGTACTTAATGCTTTACTATCACACAGCATAGCTGTAATCCCTTAAAATGTCCCATGGATAAGCTATGCATCCACCTTTTGCTGCCACCAAAACCGTCCATGAGACATTTTCTTTCCTATTGTTTTCCTTTTCTGGGATGTTAGATGAAATCAGAGTATGCAGTCCATTTAGACTGATGCAAGTAGGGGCTGGGGATTTAGCTCAGTGGCAAAAGCGCCTGCCTGGCAAGCACGAGGTCATGAGTTCAGTTCCCGGTACCGGAGAAAAAAACCCAAAAAAAAACAAAAAAAACCAAAAAAATAGACTGATGCAAGTCTATATGAATTATTAATCCTAATGTGAACCCTAACACTAATCCAAACTGAAGAGTGGACAAAAGTGGGCCAGTTATGACAGCTGACTCAGATCAGAATCTCATTTCCATGACACTGTAGAAATATTAGCAGAAATATTCTTGTTCTTCACTCATTAGCACTCGTGTATACTTCCCTTCACAATATCCTGCAATCTAAGCAAGCTGAGAATTTCCTCCTGTCTTTGGTTTCATGGCCAGTCTGCTGCCTTTGGGAACCCACTTCACCTGAGAGTCACCCTTATCTCTCAGGAAATACTTGCTGAAGCTGGGGATAAGTCCCCTGCTTTGTCCTCTGGATAGATCCACTTTTCTCACAGCTGTTCCACGTGAAGATTCCTCTCAGCTTCACCCACCATCCAAAAGCGCTGTCCAGAGCAGTCTTCCGTGCTCTCAGGCTGTCATCTCAGGCCCAAGACTCCTCATCTGAGGGCCTGGCCCTGGCCACCTTGCAGCTGCATTAAATCAACTCCTGCAGAAGGAACTGCAGTTACCCCAACTCTCAAACTGCTGTGACTCAACACTCAGCCTGTGAGCAGTTGCTATATTGCACATGGCTGTCTATTTGAACATCACGACCACTGCCATTCAGCACACTGCAAACCAGGACTTCCCTGTGGGGAGGAACACACACCAGAGACTGGAGAAAGAACATATTTTTTACATTTCTTTTGAGATCCACAAAGAAGCACTCGCCACCTAGTCAGAGCATGTCAGAGCTTTGAGGGTTTCAGCCACAGCAGATGGTTTTGTTTCCTCTAATATGGTGATCACGGTCCTGCCTGCCCTGCAGCTTTCCAGCAACTGTGCATCTGACCACCTACATGAGCTCGTGCAACTCCACATGTGTTCTGTAGCCGTTTTCTACTAACTCGTTTCATTAACATCCTACAGAAATGTCAAGATGGCCTCAGAAACTGTTGTACTTGACCTGTCAAGACAAGGAGTAGATTATGCTGCATGTAAAACTACTCATCACCCATTTGGGAAAGTTTGATCGCTGGTCATTTTGCTTCTCAAGCTGATAACCCAGGGTCTAGACATCATAGTGCTGAGTTAACTTTTATGCCAAAAAGGCTGTTGCTTTTCTAATTCTTTTCTTTGCCCTTCTTTGCACTTACCAATTATCTTAATTTAAAAAGAATAAAAGATTGTCACTATGGGAGCATTTCCAGGGTGAGCAATGGAACAGATAGGGTCTCCTACATGACGTTAACCTGGAGCAGGTGAGGTGCGCAGTTCCCCTGGGAGTAGGGTGCAACCATCGCATGCTCCGTTTTACATTTTGAGTTCAGGCCACATTTCGGTGCCTTGGATCAGGGTCTGTCTACACCCTGAGAGGTATTTTTAATTTTCTCTAAGTATAGAAATAAATTCAGAAGGCCAGTTGGGTTCAGGTCTGGAGAAGTGCATACTGGGTGACCTCTAGAAGACCTCACACTAAGTCTACTCCTGGTCTTGTCACTTACTGTGCAGGGATCTTGACCAGTTCCTGAGCTCAGCAGACCTCAAGTCCTTCATCTATAAAATGGGTTTGGCACATATTCTTAGTGTGAGAACCAGTGGAATGTAAGCCATGCATTAAAACATCTAGCAGAATAGCTGATTTGTATTCAATATTTCATGATCAACAACTGATTCTAGTGTTACCTTAATCTAGACCTTGTTACTCTTTAATCCAATGCAAGAAAGCTGCAAATCAACAGGGAGCTCAAAAGAGAATCAGGCAAAATATGATGCAGTAATCATTTTCCCAATATGTTCTCCACGGTAGGGTTTATTACTTACTTAGATGTCGGAGAGTCTTTCCAGGTTGATAACCATTAATCCAAAGTTCCTGGAGTGTGGGCACAGAGCCATATTCCCCTCCTTACCAGCTTTTCTTTCAATCAAAAACTAGTTTTCATTACATCACCTTCTCCCAGAGTCTTGCCCTGGCACTCACAAACCTTTGTAACAATGGGGCCTGCTGGCCATACTAGGGCCAAGGCCAGCTCAACACAGACGCAGCTCCACCAAGGTTTGAGCAGAGCTCACACTCCCTGACATCACAGCACCAATTTCCTTCACACGGAAACAGTTGAAACCTGGCTCACAGTGGGTGAAGTTGTAAGACAGGGAAAAGATTCCCTTGAACCCTGAAAGGGCTCTCTGGATGCGGAACCCTCGGTCAGGCTGTCATCCGACCACTTGTGCAGGTGGTTCATACCAGTGCTGGATCCTGCTGGTCGTTTCCCAAGAGAGTGTGCTACCAGCACAGCCTGCCTGCACGGAAGCTGTTCCACA